CGAGGCTGCCATGAGACACACTGCAGGGTGAGTGAGCTGTGACCTCGAGAAGCGTAGTCTACTCGAGACTTGAGCAAATCAAGAATCCTCTCTAAGCCAAATAAATGATGGCGAAGAGCACTGTTTCTGGACCCACGTTGCCTGGCCTCTGATCTGGCTGCACCAGGTGCCAGCTTCGTGATCCTACACAGGCACTCTGGGTCTCAGTCCCCTCGTCTGTGCAATGGAGATAACCGCCCACCTCACAGAGTTGTGGTGAGGACTGAGCTCATTCATACAGATGCTGGCACACAGCACGTTAGCTGCATACGAGGGAATCATTGCCTCCAGAGTTGTCCAGAGACGAGAGACAGTCGTAGTCAATTAGTGGCAGAGCAGAGCACCCCTATCATGCAGGTCTGGGGTGGGAGAGGGAATGGGGCTCCTGAATCTACTGTAGTGAGGGGATCAGTTCCCAGGTGAACAAAACAATTGGAGTGACTGAGATTTCTAATTCGTCCCTACTTAGATATTGCAGAGAAGTTACAGCAGAGTGGAAGTGGAACTCTGAGTTGATTTATCCAAATACCTTTTTATAGATGAAGAAACTGCCCCCAAGAGAGAAAGTCCTTGGTCATGACTATAGTGTGGATTGGTAGTTTAAAAAAAGGGGGGGGGGGCTGGAACCCAGGACTCCTGACTTCTGTCCATCGGTGCATGCTCTGCAGGGCGACAGGGTAAACTCTGGCTTGGGGAGAAGAGCTAGCTTCTCTGTGGGCCACATCCCTTCCGGACCTGGCTAGTCAACAACATTCAATTCCCATTGTAATCAAGAGCTTGGGGACTGTTTTTGGTATTTGCAGCACAAAATTCCCCTAAATTCCTGGTAAGCCTTCCTAGAATTCAGATGGTAAGCAACTCACTAGTTCCATCTTGTATCTCTCGAGCCCTTTTGGGCATCACAAGGCAAAGCAATCCTTAGAAACAAGCTGTGACAGCGGACTCAAGGGTTTGCCTCCCAGCTCGGGGCAGTTGGTCTAGGACATGATACTATATCCCAAATGCTCACTTAGAACCAGGGTTGGCTCAATCAATGTTGGATTTATTATTATACATATTATTGTAATTGCTCGGTACACATTTTTTGAATGAATGAATGAATGAATGAACAAATGAACCAGTGATTGAATCTTTGAAGGAACAAATTGCCTAAGAGGACCCCAACTTGTGTTACAGCTTTGGGCATATCATAAAACTTGCTAGAGTTACTTTGGTCAGAAGAGGGCAGCATTGAGTCAGCAATCTCAATCTGTCAAAGGGTTCCAGAATTTCCAGCCCTCTTCGCCTCCCACCTTCCAGTCTGAGAGGACCACTTCTAATGAGCAGGACCCTGTCTAGGCAGTTCCACCAGGCCCCGAGAGGGGAAGGTCAGCACCTTAAAGGCTGTATTGTCCACCACCCGGGGTGACTGAGGGTTGTAACGCACCCTCAGAGTTCTGGGAGAGAGGGAATTGAATGGTTGGGGTCTCAAGCTGAAAGCTGACAGTAAGCTGAGCCCTCCAGCCTATAGCAGCCCTTTTTTCAGAGAAAGAGGAGGTGGGGCTCAGGCATCTATACTAAAGCAAATTCCAATGGAGGCATTAGCTCATCAGTTGCAGAGAGCACTCAGCTGACCCCCGTCTACTCTCTCCTGTCCCCACTAGCATCTCCTCCTCACACTCCCAACCCTTCACCTCCCAATCCCAGCCCAGCCCTGAAGGCCCCCCCCTTTACCAAATCCCACCCTCCCTGCAAAGCCCTCCCTCAAACCCCTCAGGACCCCATCCTTTAAGCCCCACATGGCACTTTGCACCTCTCTTGAGTCTCCCCACTTTCTGCCTTGGGTTATACAGTAAATTGGGTGTTTATCTTATTTCCCTTACTAAACTATAAACTTCCTGAGGGCAGGGAGCTGATTCTTGGGCACCTCTCAAGACTCAAGAGAATTTTTTTCATGAAACCTGTCTTACTTCCCACTCCCCACCTCACCCCCAAAGCCAGGCCTTGGTGTCCCTCACATGCCCTCCTGCAGGCACCCTGCACTCCACGGACCACCGCGGTCCTTACTCTAAACTGAGTTTTAACATTCCCTTTACTAGTCTGGACCCACACAGACACACGGATCGCCACATGTGTAAGGGCTGGGACAGACACTTGTTCCTAATTGTTTTCCCAATGTGACACCTAGGAGGCCCAGTGAATGATTATCCCCAGAGCCCTTCAGACCTCGAGCAGCGATTAAGCATGGGGTTGGAAGGTGGGGTAGGCTTCCTCCTCCTAGGACTGGAAGATGGGGCAGACAGGGTTGAGATAGCTCAGCCCAGATTCCTGGCCCATCGGAGCACATGACCAGGAATTCCTCAGGATCTACTGGCAGCTGAGTCACCTGACGTAATTAGATTCCCTATCAGGCATTCAGGTCTCCCTCAAAGGAATCTGAGAGTTGAGTTTCAGCAGTTAAGATCATTTCTGAGTCCATGTCTGTTTGTCTGCCTGCCTGGCCTGCTTGCTGTAGGCAGACATCCGCCAGATCCACTTGTCACTAACGCCCTGTCCTGTGGTCCCACAGGAGCTGTCAGGCTGCAGCTTGGCTGGAACAGGGGAGATCTCTTTTTTGTGAGGTGTCTGGTCAACTATGGTTTGCCTCCTAAATGGAGATTCACATTCTGGTCAAAGGAAGCTGAAGTGGGGGTGGGGTAGATGTGAGAGGGACAGGAAATCTACCCCCTACTGCCATCACCAGTTTAGCTAATAATGGAAGGAAGGAAATCAATTGCATTTCATCGTATTTGCATTCCTTTAGCTCATAAGTTTCTGTTGAGTGTTCTTTGGTGTTGGGGACACCTGGAAGCATTCATAGGATTCTAGATTATGTATGAAAGAGAATCCTAGGCTCATCTGTAGAATTCTTTCATATTACTTATGAGGAAATGTGGATTCCTCTGGCTCACTGGCTCACATTCTTCAGCTTAAAAGGTCCTATACGCAGGAAGCTGCCTCGACCGACCTCCTCCTGTTATACACCCTAAGGACATTCTGTCTTCTCCCATTATGGACACCTCTTCCTCTAAGATTTGCTTGTTTATTTCTCACTAGTCTGAGAATTTTCTGAGGACAGAGACAGTGTCTATCTTGTCACCATCATAGACATAGGCCTGGCACCAGTATCTGTAGACTGAGTGAGTGATTGGTAAAAGGACACAGAACTGGTTGGTATCAGTTAGGACTAGAACTGAGGTCTCCCAACACTGTGCCCTGCACTTGCTCTTGTATTACCCATACTTCCTCTTGAGAGCCTTATCCTTCTGGATGATCCCCGCTAGCCGGGCCCCTAGGAATGGATGCAGATCGTAAGGGAGAAAAGAAACTGCTGGTCAGGGGACTGTCACCTAGGCCTCATCCTATTTTCTAAGACAACCAGAACAAGAGGGGAGGCCACTAGAGGGGAGAATGCAGAACTGGTTACCATCTCCTGTGGCCCTTCAGATTTGGGGAAGGCGGTTGGTTTACTGCATAAGTGGATCCTCTCCAGCCACAAGGGGGCAAAGGGCCCCATTCTCCATCCCTAACTCACACTGGAAAGGATCAAAGCATCAGTGGAAATAGGAAAGTAGGCAGACACTAAATACAAAACTCAGTCACTGGTGATCTAGTCCTCCTTGATCCTCAGCATGCCTTGAAGACACAGCTAAAGGCACCATCGTCCTGGGTGTCTGAATCCCCAGTTCCTTTTTTTTTTTTTAAAGAGAGAGAGAGGAAGAGAGAAGGAGAGAGAGATAGAAACATCGATTGGCTACCTCCTGCATGCCCCCCATTGGAGATCAGGCCCACAACCTGGGCATGTGCCCTGACTGTGAATCGAACCAGTGACCTCTTGGTGCATGGGTCAATGCTCAACCACTGAGCCACACTGGCTGGGCTCCCCCTAATTTCTTATCCTTTGTGTGGCCTTGGGCAGAATAATACCCACTTCAAGGATTGGGTTATCGTAAAGATGCAAAGGGAAATGTTCCTTTATCCCCATTACACTCCACATTTAGGGGCGGAGAAGGAGAGTCTATGAATGTTTTCATTTCACTCTCAATGACACTCAGAATGGGGATTCTGGACCTAGTGCTCAGGCCTTAAAAACCAAGCCAAACCTCAACTACAGAGAGGAGAACCTTGGGTGGACAGCTATTTACAAATTTAGGGATACAAGTTAAATAATAGGAGTATAATTTTATTTTATTTTTTAATGAACGAATGTTTCCCTTTGGTTCTCTTCACCTCCTTCCAACACTTCATAAATTCCACCCCATCTTGAGGGACCCACTCAACCCTAGAAGCCTTCTTTGATGAAGAGGTAAGAACCTTCCAGAATTGCATTTCTGGATCCAATTAAAGACAGATGAACTCAGAACCCTGGAACAAGTCTCTACCAGCCCTTCCACTTAGCTGGAGTCTACTACCTCCATCTCATTCCATCCTCCTTTCTCCCTATGGTCTTAAAGAAGTGGTCAAGTGACTTGATAGATTTTGGCTTGAGAGAAGCAAATTACTCAGGACAGAGCAATACTTTTGTGACTTTCAGTACTGTCAGATTGCCCCTTGCTCATTGAGAACACAATACAATAGGACAACAGGTGGCTCCAATCAGGACCAAGCGCCCCTTGGAGGCAAGAGCAGCTCCAGGGCCCCTCAAAGGTTCCATCCAGACAACCTACCAAGTAGCCTCCACTGGTGTCCTTTAGTCCCTCTGCCTGTTCCGAAGGGGGTGGGAGGAGTGGGGTGGGCGGGGCCCCATTGACACCTTTCAAACCGTGCGGAGGAGGAAGGCGGGGCTAGAGGCCTGGGCGAGCCAATGCGGGCGGCCCCGGTCACACACCGCCGGCGAGCGGGCCAATGGGCGCGGGGCGGGGGTGTTCCCAGGGCCCCGGGCTCGAGGCGTTTATAACAAGTTGGAATGTGGTGCCTGGGCGCGCGCTCCGGGGCGGCTGTGGTTCCCGTGCTGAGTGCGGGACGTGGGCCCCTAGTCCTGCCTCGCAGCCGCTCCCCACTGCGCCCGCTCTCAGCGCCTGCTGGCCATGGAGTCGCTGGCTTTCCCCCGGCGCCCCGGCCCGGCTCCTTCCGCGGCTGCCGCCGTCCTGGCCGACGGGCTCAAGTCGCCCAAGCCTCTGATGAAGAAGCAGGCGGTGAAGCGACACCACCACAAGCACAACCTGAGGCACCGCTACGAGTTCCTGGAGACCCTGGGCAAGGGCACCTACGGCAAGGTGAAGAAGGCGCGGGAGAGCTCGGGGCGCCTGGTGAGTGCGGCTCCCTTCGGCGGCGCGGGCTAGGGCTGGGCCCCATCAGTCTTTACCAAGCCGAGGTTGCGGGGATTGGGGCAGATATATCTGTCCATGATTGTAGGGACAATGATCGTGGACCTGAGAACCCCAACAACACCGGCAGACGCATGTGATGATGGCCAATAAGTGAGGTGCAGGGTGCCTAGGAGACCAATAGCGTCCTGTCTTGGGATGAGAGGTCTCCCTAAAGAAGATGGATTTTGCTTGGACCAGGCTTCCAATAGAGTGGAACGGGAAGAGGAAGTGGAAAGCACCTGATCCTAGTCGGGGTTTAGTGAATGTGTGTGTTTGAATGAATGAATGAATGAATGAATGAATGAGGTGGCCAGTTCTCAACTCAGGTCTGTTCGTCTGGCCGCCCAGTACACTGTGGAGATCTACCCAGGGGTGGAGTGGGGGTGGGTTGGACACTTAAGTCTTTTCTAGCTCTAAGAGCGAGTAGCAGTTTCAGTATGATGAGTTTCTTATTCTGGGAAATGTGAAACCAGGCTCTGGTGCAAGGTCCATTGTGCCCCAGAATACCTTTGGGTTTGGAGCCTTTTCAGGAAGGTGTCTTATTAATTTGTTGTGTGTACATGTAGTAGTAATAGTAGTAGTAATCTGTGGGACCTTGCGCAATTTATTTATCTCTGTACTCTCAGTTTCTCCTTCCGCAAAAATGGAGAAAACACAGCCTCCCTCACAAGCTGGTATGAGGATTGAATGAGAAGCAAATGTGAATTTAAAGTGTTCCTGACTGGAAGAACCCACTGTGAGAACTGATGTTTATATCTGGCAAGGCCAGCCCTGAAGGGTGGCAAGTTTGCCGAGAGTTAGTTAACAGTGGTTCTCAAACTGGAGTTTAATGTGCATAGGAATCATCTCGGGTGCTTGTGCGAAATAACTCATTCTCTGTTTCCACGCCCAGAGGATTTTATTCTGAAAGTCTAGGCTGGGACCAAATAATCTGTATTTAAACAAGTCTTTCAGGGCATGTGGTCTAGGGATTGCTTTACCAAATCCAGTTGGGTACTGGTTATGAGGCCCGTGGAAGCACCAGTGCATGTGAGTGTGGCCATGGTCTGCCCGATCGGCGATGGCTGCAGCTGGACTCCCCGGACTGTTTGCTTTAGCAGCCAGTGGCTGGTGTGAAATTCAAGAAGTCATTTCATTGGTGGAGAGTGGATGCTGGCAACAGGGGATGGATTTATGGTGCCATCAATAGGAGCGAGTATATTTTTCTTGCTAATGCCTGGCATGTTGCCCCTGTTGCCTGCTGCCAGGTTACAGCTCTTGGGCAATCGTGTACTTCCTGGCTTTCCTTTTCTTTCTCCTTCTGTAAAGTGTGAGGGCCTGGTGAGGCTCCAGGCTTCAGACTAATGGGCCCAGGCTTTTGCAGGTCTTAGCTGGAAAATAGCTGCTTGTAGGGTGCAGATTGGGTTGGGGGGCATGGAGGGCCCAAAAACTGGGAAACTGAGATTTAAGTTTAGAGATCTCATCAGGCTCTTGAGCTAGGTCACTGCATACAGGAGAGAGAGGGAAGGAGAAAGGGAGGAAGAGAGAGAGAGAGAGAGATCATTGATTCAGTAATGAGATAAACCAGCTTTCAGTTTTCAAATCTGTGTCTGCAGGCAGGGATCCCAGCTCTGGTTACATCAGAACACAGAATTCAGAAGACACTCCCTCGCCTCATGCCCATTGTTGTATGCAGGGAGCCAAGATCAGTAAGAATGGGACCTGTTCTGAACCTCTGAGATCCATAGACCATCCTGTGTTTCTGCTGGGAACTCGCTCAGGGTCTCCCTTCTCCTTGGGAGCAGCGTCCTGCTGTGCTAATGGTTTCTCAGGTCTGGAGAGGAGTCCTCTCCCCCACCCCACCCTCATTTCTGCCTTCACTGTCCTCCCAGAAGAGAGACTGACCTGGTGCCTCAGGATCTTCAGTGGGAGAGAGGGATGTGGGAGCCACCCAAGACACCCCTCAGAATGAACTGAGATTGTTGGTGGAAGCTAGATTCAGAGGACGGCCGTTGGGTGACTCCCATCCCAAAGTTCTCGCCACTTTTCCCATTCCCAGTCTGCCTAAATGAAATGATCAAGCGCTAGATGGGATTCTCCGGAGGGAGGGGCAGGTGGGCAGGACTAATGGCTACTCCAGGAGGGCATCTAAGGAAAAGCAAATATTTGCTTTAGGTCTTCTAGTTTCCAAGTACATTCCTGGTATCCAAATGACATTTCCTCCTGTGACTCTCCCAGCTGCCTTACTACCCCTCCCCCTAAAGAGAAAAGCACCTGCTGGCAGAGTCCACCAAAGCCTTTGGGATGATCTGCATGAAAGTCTTACCTCCAAGGGGTTCCATGAGGAACATGAGGGGAGTCCACGTGGCTGGTGATCTGGAGCAGGGGTGCTTCTGTCTTATGTGTTAAATGGCTTCTTGGGATTTGAAAATGACTGAGATGGTCCTCTTCTTTCATTGACAGTTGGAGAAACTGAGACCCAGAGAGGGATGTCACTTGTCCTATGGCTGGTTAGTGGCATGCCTGCAACATCGGCCCCTGATCTGACCACCCCAGGTCCTGAGTTTTGGTCGGAGATTGGCCTTCAGCTGGGCCTGGCTTGTCTCAGTGTGCTTTGTCATTCCAACAGTCCGTTCTAGTCACCTTTCTCAGCTTCAGGCAGTGCCGAGGGTTGGAGGAGTCACCGAGAACTGACTCCCACCCACGCACACTGCCTATGTCGAGGGATTCTGAGTGGGTGAACTACACTACACTTCTGGTTTTTATCTGGTCAGAAAGGCTGCTTAACTCAGAGTCAGACTGCAAGGGTTCAAAACCCTGCCCCTGTTGCTCCCCAGCTGTGTGACCTCTCTGAATCTCAGTTTCCTCCTGTGTAGAGTGGGGAATAATAATTCTCACTTCATGGTATTCTCACAGGATTAAATAAGGTTAATACATTGTAACGTGCGGAGTGCAGCAGCTGGCACACAGTGTTATCCCAGCAAGGCTGCTTTGACCAGGTCCTACCCTCTCCTGGAGGCATTCATCCGGGATCTGTTCTGCCCTGAGCAAGAAAATGGGTTGTGCTCAGCTTCCTTAGGCCTAACCACTTTGGTCTCAGCTTTGTTCAAAGTCCTTGTCTCCCCTTCAGCACCTGCTCGAGAGAAGGGCTCCCACCTGGCCAGCTGCCAAAGGCCTCTTCTGCTCAACTCTGCCCTCCCAGTTCCTCCTGCACCTGCCTGCTCAGCACAGGGAGGGAGGCTTGGCTGCAGGCAACTCTTGTCCTTGGGCTCTGGCCAAACCACACAAGAGAGCTAGGCAGGGAAATGCCTTGCCCAGCAACCTGGCAGAGTGGGCAGGAGGGTGGTAAGGAGGGGTGGGCACATCGTGGGGTTTAGGGGAAGCAGCCCAGACTCCCCTCATTCCTGGAGCCCATTCCTCTCCCTGGCTTGTTCTCTGGCAGGCTTGGTGGGATGGTGCGCCCCCATGCCCTAGGCCCATTCTCCACCCTGCCCATCCCAGGGCAACCCAGCTCATCCTCTCCTCCATTATCTAAATGGGTCATCCTCCATCTCCTTGCCCCGCCTCCCAGATGGCAGCTGCTTTGTGAAAGGTCGGAGAGGAGTCAAGGACTTTGGCTCCAACTCCTGGCAATAGCTATGACCAGAGATGCCCAGTGTGCACCCTCTTTCCTGAGACCTGGAACCGGTACCTTTAGAGTTTGTTTTTCTAAGACCTTTCTGCCATCCTTCCCTGAGTCCAGATCGTTTCTGATCTGTGTTGGGAGTGGGGGGTGGGGGCAGAGTTTATAAACAAATGAGCCCCAGCACCTATCTCTGCAGCATGTTTGTATAAGAAGGATGGGGGTGGCTGGGGGTACTGTACAGCTTGGCCCCAGGCAGGGTGTGAGGCATTCCCTTCTCCAGGGGTGGGAGGTAGGGAGCTGGAGGCAGGGCAGGGCATCTGCAAGAATCTTTTGTCTTCTGAGTTGGCAGCTTCTCCAAGTAACACCCCTCCCTCTTGGATCCCGACTGCCTTGATGTATCTGGGAACCTTGGAAAAGTCGGTGCACCTTTCTGGACTTCACTGCTTGCCATTTGCAAAGTGGGGTAGGGAATTAGCCCTGCTGCCTTTCCAACATGCAGGACCACAGGGACAAGGAAACCACTGGGCCAGGATCAGTAGGGATTTTGCTCAGGCAGGTTAACGTAGATATAGCATGGGGCCTCTGAACAAGCTCATTATAACAATCCTTGGCCAGCACCTTCCTGGCATAGTAGCAGGTGACCCATTTCTGAAGACACTCAGGAGACAATGCTAGCGTTTGGAAGGGACCTCAGAGATCCTGATGTGCAAATTTGTGAATGGTTCCTTTCTTTCTGGCCTTCGCTCAGACATTTCTCTCTGCTTGGAATGCCCCTGTTGCTCCTCCCTAGGCTGCCTTCCTTGGCTTGGCAAACCCCACTCATCCTCAAGATCTAAAACAAAATTTTCTCCCAGAGGTGATTTCCCCTGCACCTCCAGGCAAAGAAAACTCTCCAGTGCTCCTGGAGCCCCTGGCAGGGAGGGACCTCGACTGTCATCACACTGGACTGGAGTTGATTTCATTGCCAGTCCTACCACTGGACTGAGGACCTTGGTACAGGGACTGTCCAATTTTTGTCTAAATCCCCAACACCTAACATAGCACCAGGCACATAGTAGGTGTTCAGCAGATGCTTGGAGAATGAGAACATTAAAACCAGCCAGACCAGTTAGCCAGATTATTTAAGTGGCCTGTCTTGTGTTGCATGGTTCCATAGTAGCCAATGAAGACGAGATACCTGGGCTCTTGACATCCACTCCATGGAGCTGGTGTTCACATTTACATTAATATACTTGTGCCTGAGTTCCCTGTTCCCTCTGGGTAGGGTGACCATATAATACATTGTCTAAATGTGAGTACTTCGGAGAGAAGTGTCGCTATTAGTAATTATACTGGGATGAACCAGGATCATCTCCGGGCATGAGATCTCCCTACCTCTGGGTGATCCGTTCAGCAATTGTTACCTTCTTCCTTGGCTCTAGTCAGTATATTTTTATTCTGGAGAATGGTTGCTCAACTACCTTGCAGATGAGAACAAAGGTCCCTCAAAATCAGTGCTTGTAGCAGAGATTGACTCTCCACCCATGCCCAGGAGGAAAGGCAGAAAATCTTATCTGGGCACTGGTCTCAGAAGTCAGCAATCAGCCCAGTGACTTAACCAATAAATATCTATTTTTGTGATTTGTGTTCACCAGTAAACAATTGTTGCGAACTTTTGACTGTGGAGCTCTGTCTAGGCCTGAGCTTTTGCTCTAATTTACTTTGATAGGCTAGCTAGTAGGTAACTAGGGGCCTGGGATAGGCTGAGGAACAGTGGCCCAGCCCCACCAGGGCACTGACACATTGCTCTTCTTGTCTGTCACCTGCTTAGGGACTGGTGAAAGTCTGATGACATACCTTGTTTCTTTCCTGGGAAGTACCAGCCAAGCCGTGCTCTTCTGGGACCTACTGTAGATAATTGGGGGTCCTTGACTGGGCCCCCTGAGGCCAGAGCATAAGCTTACAGGAGGCTAGAACTGTTCATTGAGAATTAACAATTCTGATTCAGAGTCTTCTAAATTTGAGAGAAATGGATCTCAAAGTTTGACTTGTGTACCCTCTATCCATCCAAGCAGGGACTCTTTCTAGCACTGCTCAGACCCCTTTATTTTGGGGGGACCTCATTTCTTTTAGGTCTTGTCTGTTTTAGAGCTCTTCCTCCTAAGCCTTGGATGATTTCTCTCATTGTTGCATTTGTTTGTGTACACACACATATACATCCAAGATGTGCTTCGTTTTTGCATCTGTGTGCATCTTAAGCTCTCAAATAGTTGTTTCTTCATCTCGTTATGTGATTTATGTATGATTTTTTTACTATGTTAATACAGTTGTTATGGCCCTTTATCTGAAGAACTCATAGTACTTTATCCATTGTCTGGTTATACAATGAAAACATTCTGAGAGAAAAGAACTAGCCCCTCACATGTTGCCTTCAGAGAGGGAAAAGGGGTATGGAGAGAGAGGTGTGCAGGAAACACGCTCCAGGTTGAATCCTTGGAGTTGAAGGATTCCAGCCCCTTTGTCCCCATCCCCACTCCCTGTCCAATTCTAAATCAGGGATTTTTCTGCCCAGCTCCTGGGGGAGGTCTGGAGCAGAAGGGGTGGGGGCGTGAACACCTGCAGCTGCAGCATGGGCCTCAGCATCTCGGCGGGAGGCTCCATGGTGATCGTCCCTCCCGCTGCCATTGTCCTCCCGGTCCTGCTCCGGGAAGGCAGAGAGCTGGGCCTCCCCTCTTTCAGGCAGGCAGCTCCAGGGGAGGAGCTGGGCGGAGGGCACGCCATCCCTGGCCCGTTGCCGGGGCGACCGAGCCCTGGGCACTGTGAGCAGCTCCGCTTGCGGATTACTGGACTGTTCCGCATTCTTGTCTGCTGTCCCCATGAGCAGGAAGCCATTGTCTGCCTCCAGAGCCCTGTGAAAGGGGGATTAGCGGCCCCTCCCTGCCAGAAGTGGTTTCCTTTTTTCCGTCTTTCTTTCAACCTCGAGGGGCGGCAAACCCTCCTGGGAAACTGAATGAGGAGCTGTTTGCCCCAGGCTGTGCCTTCAAGATTCTTCCTAAGTTGCCTGTCTCCCACGAAGAGGATGTCTTGTGTTTACTGTTTGTGTCCCTGCATAAGACTTGACAGGAACTGACCAGCCCTGTGACACCCTACCCTGCCCAGCACCTGAAAATGCAGCCTCTGAGGGCCGTGGGGTTTGTGTGGCTCAGGTCACAGAGCCAGAGCGGGAAAGCACCTCAGACACCTTGAGTCACCCGGTTTGTGTCACTGGAAAGGAAACAGAGGCTCTAAGAGCAGTGGGATTTGCTCCTGGGGACAGTGACAGAGCCTGGAGGAGAACCCAGGTCTCCTGACTCCCCAGACAGTGTCTTCGGCACACACCTCACTCACACACACACACACACCCTGCACTGTGTGATTCACCCCTTTCTGTCACCTTGGCCCTCAGTGGGCTGCAGCAGAGAAAGGGCTGGAAAGTCCCCTCAGTCTCCAAGAACATTGCTTCAAGGGTGTCTTGGCAGCTCTTGCTTCATTTTCTCTGGCCTGCTCCACCCCTGCGAACCCACCATACAAACCAGCTGGAGGGTGTGACCCTTGTATGGTGTTTTCACCTTTGCAGAGGAGATAGCAGAGCCCAGAGGACTTTGTTGCTGGGAGAGGGACTTTGCTTGCCTAGACTGAAGAGACTGGAGTTTCGTTTTGCTTTCACAATTGTGTGTGTGTGTGTGTAGTAAAAATATATATAACATAAAATTCACCATTTGAAGCATTTAAGTGTACAATTCCGTGACATTAAGTCCAGTTACAGTGTTGTGCAACCATCACCACTATGCATTTCTCAAGTCATTGCATCACCCCATACGGAACCTGTTTGTACCCATCACACAGTAACTGATCCTCTGCTACCCCCACCTCTCCCGGCCCCCTCCCCTGGTAACCTCTGTTCAGCTTTGTCCTATGCATTTTCCTATTCTGGTCATCTCATATAAATAGACTTATACATATGGTCTTGTGTGTCTGGTTTATTTCACTTAATATAGTGTTGTCAGGTTTCATCCAAGTCAGTGCCAGTTAGTGACAGTGTGACTTTGATTAGGTCATTTACCAGTTTCCTCTCCTGTAAATGAGGATGATGATTCTTTCTGTGCCTACCTCCCAAGGCCGTTGTGAGGGCCAGTTAATTTACTAAAGCAAAAAAAGGGTTATTCAGTGCCTCCTGTGTGCCAGGCACTATGCTTGGCATCAGGGTCCAATGGTGAGCAAATCCTTGTCCTCATGGTGTAGTATGGTAAATTTGCTTTGTAAGTCATAAAGCATCAGCCTTTCAAATGGTTGTTACCTTCCTTGTTCATCTTTGGACTCGGAATAAGGTCATTGGTCCTTACTTCTTTCTGCTACATGGACTACACCTAACCCAGGTGAGAACCTTCCCTGGAGAAGGTGCTCTTCAGCTTGTCTGCCATCTTCCCTGGTGAAGGCCGAGGGTCTTCTCTGGTTGTATCCTATGGCTTTGCAGCGGGCAGATCAGAGTCAGGACTTTGAGTGTGTCCTCCAGGACAGTTTTACCTGCCAGATCTTTCTCTTTACTCTCCAGCATTCTCTGTTCCCAGGTGGCCATCAAGTCAATCCGGAAAGACAAAATCAAAGATGAGCAAGATCTGATGCATATTCGGCGAGAGATTGAGATTATGTCATCACTCAACCACCCCCACATCATTGTCATCCATGAAGGTACAGAGGCAGGGTGTTTGAATCTGGGTGTGTGTGTGTGTGTGTAGGAGCAGTCAGAATAGATGATAAAAGAAATAAAAGAGACACCGGCTTTGGGATAAAAGCTGGATTTGAAATTCAGCTGTATGGCTTGGGCAACTATTCAATTTAGTCTCTGGGTGGGCCCCAGTTCCTCATTTGTAAATGGGATAATCCCACCTACGTCACAGGGTAGTTGCAAAGGTCAAATTAAATGTCACCATGTGCTTAGCTCGTGGGAGGAACTCAGCGGAATGTTGTTATTGTTAGGTTTTCCATACTTAAACACTGCCTCCCCAACGCAATGAGATCCTCAACAATACGGGGAGGAGGCTGAAACATAGAGACCTGCACCTGTCTCAGGGGCATGGGTGCTAAGAGCCAGGCCTCCTAGGGCCTGCCCTGTACACTGAATCATTCCTGCCACGGGGTTGGCTCCCACCTCTCATTATCCTTCTCAGCCTCCTTTTGCGCTAACATCAGCGCTGGCTTTCCGCTCCAGCTGCCTTGTTCCCTGTGACCCAGACAACAAAGTAAGCAAGAGAGGGGGATGAGGGAAAGGGGGAGCACCCTCCCACACACATCTGTCTGCTTCCAGCCTTTACATAATATCAGTTAGACGGGAAACAAGGCCAGACTAAGGGCAGAGCCACTGACATGGCCCTGTGCCCTGAGCCATCTCACAAGGAGCCCAGGCAAGTAGCTGAGAAAGCTAATTGTATCTCTGTGTATTTCCCCCAGGGAAGCGTGGGCACGGCAGACTATTGGTTAAGCCAGGCTGGGCTTGGCGATTGGTGTGTGTGTGTGTACTTGTGCATGTGCGTGTCCCACACTCATATCCCAGCCAGGTCTGGGAACTGAGCTTTGAAGCTCGGGGTGTGGCTTCTCCTCCCCCTTCAGATTCAGCAGATGTAGGGCCATCACAGTTATTGTGCATATGGCAGGGCTCCCCAGACCCCTCCCCATCCAGCCACAGACCTCGGGGGATGTGGTCTGGGGGGTGGAGGGGAACTCACCTAGCTGCTGCCCAGAATGTCCTGGCTCTTGACCCCCAATTTCATGGCACAAAGGCTGCAGAGATATGGAGAACTACAGGAGTAGAGGCTCAGCTAGGCAAACCCCAGGAGGCTGGGCCACCACACATCAGGACCACTCACTCATGTGCCCCTGGGAAAAAGTTCAGTCCTCCTGGCCGTATATCCAACTGCCTGGAATCAGGGAGAAGACACCTCCCTCAGCTCCTTCTCACAGGCTACACAGCAGTAGCTCTGTCTGGCCGAGCAAGCCAAACTCCTAGGACCTGTTTGCCACACAGATGCAATGTCAGGGACACAGGTGTTCTGACACATGCAGCTGAAGGGCCAGTTTGGTGAACCAGCCGTGCCCTGCCTCTCCAGGGGCTTGAGCAAAACAGGCCCGAGGGGGAAGAGAGCCCCTCTGACTCGTTGATAGCCAGATGGGCAGGTTGACTGCCAGGAGCCCGGCCAGTCAATTAATTACCAAATATCTACTGATTGCTTCTGTGGTCAAGGCCCTGGAAGTACTCTGGGTGGGAAGTCAAAGGTGTTAGGGGAGATGAATGTCTCAGCTCTCCATTGTACTTTATAGTGTACGAACCACTTGCATATGCTTTTATTCCTCTTCTGATCATCAAGGCAGACATTTTACGGGCATTATTATGTATGTTTATATATACGAGGACGCTGGTACTAAATGTAACAGTAGGTAGCATTTATGGAGTGTTTGCTCATGTGGGTCCCTCCACCAGCCCTAGAGCTTTCACTGACTTGTATCGAGTTCCTACCCCAGTCCTACAAGGTTGCCATTATTACCTCCCTCTTCAAATGAGGAAACTGAGGCACACTGGTTGAATAACTTGTCGAGGCCACTCAGCTAGTCAGTGATGGGGCCAGGATTCAAACCCCGAACCGACATTCTTACTGATGGAAATAGAAGAGATGTGCTCTAGGTCACAAAGCAAAACAACACCCGGTTCTGAACCAGACAGCCTTTTATTCTCATCCAGCGATGGCCCTGCCCCCCTGGGACCTTGCAGGGTAATTTAAGATCCTCAAAAGCCAGAACTTCCCAGGAGAGGGAGGGGGAGACAGTTTCCTTGGCCTTAACTTGTTGCTACTGGAAGGTGTTGAGAGGTTCAGAGGCCCTTCCGCCCTCCTGCCCCATCAGCAGACACCCTGGAGGGAGGTCCAGGGGGGAGGTGTCTGGTCCAGGGCCGTGTACTCCGGAGGGGCCTGATGTCCCACCTATTCTGCCCCAGTGTTTGAGAACAGCCGCAAGATTGTGATCGTCATGGAGTATGCCAGCCGGGGAGACCTGTATGACTACATTAGTGAGCGGCAGCGGCTCAGTGAGCGCGACGCCCGGCACTTCTTCCGACAGATTGTCTCCGCTGTGCACTACTGCCACCAGGTGAGCCCACCACCCCGGCCTGATCTGAGGGGTGGTCCCTGGGCTCTGGGGCTGGTTTGGGCCAGAGAGATTCCATGACTTGTCCAGGATCATACAGGGATACAAAGCAGAGGCAAGACCCGATTCTGGACTCTCAGCCTAGGGAATGCAAGGCGTTGAGTCCCTTGGCCCGGGGTGGAAGGGCCTGTGATTTGTTGCGCTTTGTACCAATAAATACGGGTATTCCCAGCCTACTCGTGCTCCCCCACCCGCCCCCTTTGTGTGTGCCTCACTTCCCATACTGGGCCCTCATGCACTTCCCTCCCTGATGACTTTCCCCTGACCCTCGCCCTCCCTCTTGCAGAATGGGGTTGTCCACCGGGACCTCAAGCTAGAGAACATCCTCCTCGATGCGAATGGGAATATCAAGGTGAGCCCCACTTCTTGTTTCTACAGCTCTCCCGCTCTCCCCCAGTCTTTTTGCACTGTCCCCAGCCAAGTATCTCTAAGCCCTTGGGGGTTCCGGAAGGAGCTGAGCAAGCTCTGACTTAGATGTTGGTTCCTACTTCATTTCGTGGATGGGAAAACAGGGCCTCAAAATAAGGGGTGACTCGCACGAGGTTCTATGGCTAGTGAGAGGCTGAGCATGGGCTAGAACCAAGGTCTTCTGACTCCCCGACCAGTGCTCTTGACATCACAAGACTGACAGGAGTCTCGGCCTAGGGTCAGTTTTTGCTTGCAACCTTGGGACTGGCAGGGAGCAGGCCACAGCCCAAGTTCTCCCTGCCTGTGTGCAGACATACACACATGCACTTACATACACGTGTACACCGACATGCACACTTTAATCTGCTGCAATTAGGTTGCCCTTTGGTAACCTTCCCCAAAGACCAAGCATTCCGGCACCAGCTTCCTGCAGCTTCTGATTCCCCACGCCTACACGGTTAAATTTAGGTATGAGAAGTGCACACTGATGAGATAGACTCAGATCTCAGAACTGGAGGGCAAGATGGCCAGGCGGGCCCCTACATGTACCTGGGAGGGCACTGACTCTGCGCTCAGACCTTCCTTAGCATCTTCTTGAACTCAGAACATAGTCCCTTCTCCAGTGGCCCTGACCTGTGCTTTGTGGTGTCCCAGCACTGAGTTCATTCCCCTTTCCCAGCCAATTCCCGGAGCAGGTGGGGCTTACTTTGATGCTTTGTGGCGGGGGGGGGGGGGGGGGGAACAGAGCCAATAGACCCATACAACCTAGACAGGCATGAACTTTCCCATCTGCACCAATCACCTACCTCATTATGGACTTCAACTGCTTGATAAGAGACCAATAAAACCATAAACGAAGGAGCCAGAGTTTCATAAACAGGCCCTCCCCACCCAAGGCACACATGACCGTCTGCTGGGGATGAAGAAGTTAGGAGCAAAAGGGCACTGGCCTCGGCCTCTATATGAGGGTAGCTCTGGAAAGGGTCTCTGGGGAATAAGAAGGTGGGCTTCAGTATCAGGTGGCTCAAGGAGTCCTGTGAGAAGATCCCCTCTCCTGGGCTACAACTACAACCATGATCTTTGTTCTGCCCTCACCATTGCTTCTCAGCCATACCCATGTTCCTGCCCAGGTGTGGACATAAACAAAGCTTTGCTGGGAAGGCCAGCCCAGCCTTGCAGGTTTAATCAGCGCTGGGGTGGCATGCTTCTGAGAGTCCTGATGCTGGCATGAGATGTTGACTCTCCCCTTCCATCTGGTCAACCTTCCCATTGAGTCCCATTCATGGGTCACACCTGTGCTAGGAGATGCAGGAGGGATGGGGACAGAAGGAGGTCAGCACGGGGAACATACTGATGTAGCAATATGAGGAGACAACTGATAGGTAGTGGCTACAGCAAGCCATTGGAAGCCGTAGGGCTTCGTGGGAGAAGGACATCTCGGGGCAATGAAGGACTTCCCAGGGGAAGGGTCTTGCTGGACCAGGAAGATGTTCATGAACAGGAGAGCACATGCCTGGAGGGGACTACAGTGTGGGCAGAGGAGCCTGGGAAACAGCGAGGACCCTGAGCCCCACACACCTCTACCTAAGTGCTCACTGACACAACCTCTGCCGGGCTCTTTCTTCCAGGGCCTGAGCTGTGTGACAGCACCTATTGCGGGGTGGGGGTCACGGGCACACTCTCCTCCTGCTGACTTGACCCCTGCCATGTTTGTCCACTCCTGCAGATTGCTGACTTTGGCCTCTCCAACCTCTACCACCCAGGCAAGTTCCTGCAGACATTCTGTGGGAGCCCCCTGTACGCCTCGCCCGAGATCGTCAACGGGAAGCCCTATGTAGGCCCAGAGGTGAGTGTCTGCCCTCCCCCACCAGCCTGCCCAGCCTGCCCCGTGACTCAGCTCCTAGGAGACAGGTGGGCCGGTCTGGTAGCTGTCCCTTTTCTCAGAGCACACCGTTCAGCAGCACCCACCCACCGCAGAGTAGTGACTGCCAGTCTCTAGCCAGGAGTGGCAAACCTGGAATGAGAACTTAAATCTCTGACCCCAAGTCTAGTTCTGCGCCCCTCACCTTCCTGGTTCCCATCCCCTTGCCCAGCACCCAGCCAGCCACCCTATCCTGTCCCCGAAGTGATGGCCTCGCCATTGCTCTTGTGTTTGTGTCTGCCCCTGCCACGGACAGGTGATTGACAGCACCTCTCCCCACGAGCCTTCGTCTCTCCTACAGCATTGCTCCTTTGCCTCCAGATATTAGAGGGAGGTGGCCCTCAGATGCACTGGCCTCTGAGTTCTCCAGCGTGCACCCCTGTCTTCCCTGGTGTGCAAGTGAGGCTGGAAGCTCTTCAGCATCCTTACTGACCCCACCCTTCTCTCTCAGGTGGACAGCTGGTCCCTGGGTGTTCTCCTGTACATCCTGGTGCATGGCACCATGCCCTTCGACGGGCAGGACCATAAGACGCTGGTGAAGCAGATCAGCAACGGGGCCTACCGGGAGCCACCTAAACCCTCAGGTGAGTGAGAGATGTGGGTGGTCTCTTCCAGGTCCAGGTGCCCTAAGCTAATTCCTGAGGCAGGCGTTAAACGGCGGCAGAGTGAGGGCAACCCAATGCAAGGAGAGTACCCTCCACACGCCTTGGGCTGTTATCTCTCTGCCTCCAGTGTCTGCGACCTCCAAAGGAGGAGATACCTCCCTTCCCTTATGGGCACGCTTTCTCATACTGGGGGAGGCTTCCCAAAGGCTAACTTAGATCCTCTTTCTACTGCCTTTGCCCTCATCCTTAGACATCTTCTGGTCCTTTCACCTACAGTGTAGGTAAGAAGAAGGACGTAAGAACCTTGGTTTTCCCTCGAGCACAGTCCACAGCCTCGGAGGGTTGCATTTCAGGGAGAAGAGGATACACACCCACATACAACAAGGCTGTTGAGGGGGCCAGAGACCTAGGGGCATGGGACGGAAGAGGAATTTGGCAGAGTTCATCCAGGAAAGTGGGAAGCTAGGAGGGGCTGGCTGGGGCGTGTGCGGAGCCCTGGGTAGGAGTAGACATACTGACCAAGGAGTGAGTGGTCTCAGCACAGATGGGGGTACACCAATGAGAGGGCTGTGGGTGCCCGTTCTCATGGCTGCCAGTCTGAAGCCCCTTGTCCTTGTCTTCCAGATGCCTGTGGCCTGATCCGGTGGCTGTTAATGGTGAACCCCACCCGCCGGGCCACCCTGGAGGATGTAATCAGTCACTGGTGGGTCAACTGGGGCTATGCCACCCGCGTGGGGCAGCAGGAGGCTCTCCACGAGGGAGGGCCCCCGGGCAGTGACTCTGGCCGGGCCTCCATGGCTGACTGGCTCCGGCGGTCCTCCCGCCCCCTCCTGGAGAATGGGGCCAAGGTCTGCAGCTTCTTCAAGCAGCACGCACCCGGGGGTGGGAGCACGGCCCCCAGCCTGGAGCGCCAGCATTCGCTTAAGAAATCCCGCAAAGAGAACGACATGGCCCCGTCTCTCCAGGGGGACCCGGCTGACAGCACCTCCCCTCGCCCTGGCAAGGGCAACCTCAAGCTACCGAAAGGCATTCTCAAGAAGAAGGACTCTGCCTCCTCAGAGTGGGCAGGGGAGGACCCTGAGCTCAGCCCGGCCCCTGCCAGCCCAGGCCAGGCTGCCCCCCTGCTCCCCAAGAAGAGCATCCTCAAGAAGTCTCGGCAGCGGGAATCTGGCTACTACTCCTCTCCCGAGCCCAGCGAGTCTGGGGAGCTCCTGGATGCAGGGGACGTGTTCATGAGTGGGGACCCGGCGGAGCAGAAGCCGCCCCCGGCCTCAGGGCTGCTCCTCCACCGCAAGGGCATCCTCAAACACAACGGCAAGTTCTCCTGCACAGCCCTGCACCTCGCGGCCCCCACCACCTTCGGCTCCTTGAATGAACTGGCCGCACCTCACCCTCCACCCCGGGCCGGCCGCCCCTCGGGAGCTGTGAGTGAGGACAGCATCCTGTCCTCCGAGTCCTTTGACCAGCTGGACTTGCCTGAATGGCTCCCAGACCCCCCGCTGCGGGGCTGTGTGTCTGTGGACAACCTCAATGGGCTTGAGGAGCCCCCTGCAGAGGGCCCTGGAAGCAGGGGCCTGAGGCGATGGAGGCAAGACCCCCTGGGGGAAAGCTGCTTCTCCCTGACGGACTGCCAGGAGGTGACCGAGGCCTACCGACAGGCACTGGGGGTCTGCCCAAAGCTCAGCTGAGCGTCAGGGCATCGCCCTGCCGGACAGGCTCTGAGATGCAGCTGGCAACCGTGAGGGGAGACGCCTTCTCCCTGCCTCCCAGGACCAGCTTCCCAGCCCAGAAGACACAGGGTTTGCAGAATAGCCCTGGGGCGGGCCGGGTATGGGAAACATGGGCAAGAGAACACCATGAGGGCTCAGTGTCCTCAGCCCTGCCGAACCAAGAAGACAGCAGCGGGGGAAAGTGTAGGGAAGTAGAGGGGAAGGCCCGGGCCAAGTTCAGGTTCTCTGTTGCATGCACACAGGGTAGGACCACAGAAATCTGGGGAAAGCACTCTTATCAGTGCCCATCTCCTTTATCGCGACGAGTGCGTTCTGTGCGTGGTGCCTTCTGCCAAGGTGGGGATGGAGACTTCTCACATCCCCACCCCATCCCCACCAGGCACTAAAACTGGAATATGGAAACTCCTCGTGTGCCTGGGACACCCCAGGAACAGTCTCCTAGAGTGTGCCTCTCCTTATTTCTCCCAGCAGCAAGAGGACCCAACCTCCATTTCCTCAAAGGTTCTCTCCCCTTCCTGTCCCCCCAAACCTGGCCCGAGCTTCCTGGAGTCGCTGCTATGAATCTAAAGACTTGAAAAGGCTCAGGCTGCTACTGGACTTCATCCCAAGAGGCCCAGGCTCCTCTGGACCCCGCCCTGAGCCTCGAAGTCTGTGAACTTCTCCCGCCTCTAAGCTGCTCCTGCTACTGAGAATGGATGTCTCTGTTTCTCTGGGTCTTCAGCACCCTAGAATGTCCTATTTATGTTTTCAGCTCTTTGTTCTTAAAAAAAAAAAAAGTGAATTTTGCTGTTTTCTATAATGTGAATACTATGTTCTGGAAAGTCCGTTATACATCTAACTTTTGTGTACAGAGAAATATTTTTGCAATGATTCCCTACTGATCATGGGGAAGTGGGGGGGGGCCTTTATAAATCCACGGGTTCTGTTGCACTGTCCAGAGGGGGTCTCTGGCTCCCTCATCCATGCCCTGATTCTATCTACCTGATGGTCCCTCTTCCCTTCTCTGTGGCCAGAAAACACCCACTCCATTAAAAACCAGAAATGTGACTGAAAATAGCTTCTGTTGTTCTGTTTGCAGAGGTGGGGTGCAGATCTCTGAGCCTTCTCTTAACACACACTCCTGCTGAGGACTAGAGAACCTGCTTAATAAAAACAAGCTAACAAGCACCCAGCTCTTAGCTCCAAAAAGCTCCTCGGTGTACCTCCATTAGCAGTTCTGCCCTATTAAACACACGGGTGGGAGAGCCTGGGCTGAAGGACCCAATTTGCTCTTCCTGACTTTGGCACTGAAGGGAGAACTGGGTTTGGTAGATTGGACAGCCCTGCCCCCAGCCTTCTCTACATCTTCCGCCCCTCCCCCTTCCAGTTCTGCCCCTGCTGCTTGAAGACACCCCACTGCCTTTATTCTCTCCAAAGAAATCCCCTTTGCTCAGTGCTGGGCAGCTGCGCCCTGCTCTGCCCTTACCCCTGACCCCTGGTGAAGTAAAGAATGCTTGGAATGCCCCCCTCGAAGGCCATCCCTCAACCCCCAGCAGAGAGAGCATTCCCAGCCTGCTCTCCTGCTCCTTTGAGAAACTCCTGGGCTCTGAGGACTGGGATGAAAGGGAGAATAAGGACAAAGTGCAGGCAAGCAGCCAGCGGTCGGTCTCCAGCTTCAAGCAGGCTCTATATGCCCTACCCCCTTCTGGTGTTTGCAGGTCCCCAAACAGCCCCAGTCCCAGCCAGCTCCAGCTCCCTGCTCCACAGCACACCTGTTCTGGATCGGAGCATTGGGACCTTCCCTCCCTGTCCCTGCATCTGGGGAGCTGGCCGGCACTGGGTCTGGGGAGTAAATGAGGTGTCGAGGCAACTGTGAGGTCAGGATGCTACAGCGAACAAGAAATAAGTCAGGCCCTGGTCGGTTTTGCTCAGTGGTTAGAGCGTCAGCCTGCGGTCGAGAGAGACTTGGGTTCGGTTCTCGTTAAGGGCATGTACCTCGGTTGCAGTTTGTCCCCAGCCCTGGTTGGGTCGTGCAGGTGGCAACCACTTGATGTGTCCCTTTCACGTCGATGTTTCTCTTTCTCTCACTCCTACTCTATCTGAACAAAAAAAAATGTCCTCAGGTGAGGATAAAAAAAAAAAAAAGAAAGAAGTCAGGCTACAACTGGAATATTTCGGTCTGATATCTTTGAGGTCCCACAGAGAGCTGGAGCTCTGGGCTAGACTCTGGGTGAACACCAGGAAAATATAAGGGAGGATTTTTAACTCAAGAACCATAGAGTTCAGGTGTGGAGTTGGCTGTGCTCCTTGATTCATTCAACACAGGAACTCAGCCCTATTCTTTGCTAAGCTCTGTGAAAGACAAAGGTAATTGCTACGTCTTTGGTGCAACCCATAAGATCTTAGCCTCAAGGAGGCTGCAGACAGCAGTTAGCACCCATAAAAATAAGTAAAATTCGACTTCTAGTCAAGATGGCGGTGGGTAAACGTGGTACTCACCTCTTCCCACAACCACATCAAAACTACAACTAAAGCACAGAACATCATCGTTCAGAACCGTCTGAAATCTGGCTAAATGGAAGTGCTACAACTAGGGGATTAAAGAAGAAGCCACATCGAGACTGGCAGGAGGGGTGGCAGATAAAAATTGGGAGGGCCCTGGCCGGTTTGGCTCAGCGGTTAGAGCGTCGGCCTGCGGTCCAGAGAGACCCAGGTACGGTTCTCGGTTGCAGTTTGTCCCCGGCCCTGGTCGGTCGTGAGGGTGGCAGCCACTCGATGTGTCCCTTTCATGTCGATGTTTCTCTCTCTCTCTCTCTGTTCCTCTCTCTCCCTCCCACTCTACCTGAACAAAAAATGGAAAAATGTCCTCTGGTGAGGAGGATTAAAAAAAAAAAATTGGGAGGAATAACTCAGCTTCAGAGGTCCCCCCTGAGGAGTGAGGAGTCCCTGCCCCACACCAGACCCCCAGCCAAGGGTTCTAATGCCAGGAAAAGAAGTCCCCATAACTTCTGTCTGTAAAACCCAGTGGGGGTTGTGGCTGATTGAGACGGAGGGTTTCTGGAGTCCCAGGTAGTTCCTCTTAAAGGGCCCGCCCAAGGATTTACTGGGACTCACACCCTCTGAGCTCCAGCACGGGGGCAGCAGCTCAAGGGCGCCGGTGACATACACAGAGGAAGTGAACTGTCTGGCATCAGGGGGGGAGCTATGGGGGAGCAGCTTTCTGCCAGACAAATGTGCTGGCAGAGCCCAGCTGGTGTGGCTCAGTGGATTGAGCGTCATCTCATGGATGACTATGTCCAATTCCTGGTCAGGACACATGCCTGGGTTGCCCACTTGGTCCTCAGTAGGGGACGTGCAGGAGGCAGCTGACAATGTGTCTCTCTCACATCAATGTTTCTGTCTCTCCTTTCCTCTCTCTCTGAAGAAAATCAATGGAAACATATATATGTATTATATATGTATTTTTTTTAAGTGCTGGCAGAGGCCATTGTTCCTTCTAGAGGACCCCCTGCCCACTCCCCACCACAGAGCCAGCAGGTGGGCAACATATCTGAGTCTCCATCAACCTGGCTCACACTATTCACCCCTCCTTGGTGATTCCCAGAGACCCCGCCCCACCCATACTTCTTCCACTGGCTTTTCTATACAAATGGCCTGTCTCCACTCATGCTTCAGAATTTCCTAAAATCTCTCAAAAAGTAATATCTGGCATTAGCATGCCCTGTGCCTCTCTCTAAGTGGCCTCAGGCCTGGCACTAGCAGCAGCTGGCCTTGGTTCACAGTTTGGCCTTGCCTGGGACCCTCTAAGCCTAGCACAAGTAGCAGCCATCTGCAGATCGGTTTGTAACTCATACTGGGTGGCCCCAGGGCAGAACACAGGCAGCGGTTGACTTTGGCCTGCACTTCCCGTGAGGCCTCAGAGCCAGTGCATCTGGTGGACAGCTTCAATGAAGCACCACCCAACCACCTCCACAAGGGACATGTTCAAGGGGCAGACTCAGTGCACACCAGAGCCCTGCTGTGTGGGGTGGGCCCCTACACAGCTGATCCTCCTCAGAGGTTGGTGGTTGGTAGTTGTAGCAAGTCTTTGCAGCCAATTGGCCTAGAGGTAAATCCCTCCCATTGATGTGTAAACAGTGATCAAAGCTCAACTACAATAGGAGGGTGTACACCACTCACATGGAGTTGGGGATGCACCTAGAGTGTCCAGCTTGGGTGACCGGGGAGGCTGCACCATTGGACGCTACAGCACATCTATTACATTAAGCCACTCTACCAAGCCTAGGAGACATAGCAGTTCTAACTAATATATAGAAACAAACACAGGGAGGCAGCCAAAATGAGGAGAAAAGAAACATGTCTCAAATGAAAGAACAGAACAAAATTCCAGAAAAATAACTAAACAAAATGGAGACAAACAATCTATTAGATGTAGAGTTAAAACATTCGTTATAAGGATGCTCAATGAACTTAGTAAGAATTTCAACAGCATAAAAAAGACATGGAAACCATAAAAAAAAACAAAAACCAACAGTCAGAAATGAAGGATACACTAACTGAAATGAAGAATAATTTACAGGGAATCAACATTAGAGTAGTTGAAACTGAGAATCAAATCAGCAATTTGGAATGTAAGGAGCAAAAACACCCAATTTGAACAGCAAAAAGAAAAAAGAATCAGAAGAAATGAGGATAGTGTAAGAAGCCTCTAGGACTACTTCAGGCATGGCAACCAACATTGGCATCACTGGGATGCTGGGAGGAGACGGGAGAGAGCAAAAAATGAAAAACATATTTGAAAAAATAATGATAGAAACTTCCCTACATGGTGAAGGAAATAGACATACAAGCCCAAGAAGCACACAGAGTCCTAAACAAGATGAACCCAAAGAGGCACACAAAGACACATTATAATTAAAATGCAAAAGGTTAAAGACAGAGAATCTTAAAAGCAGCAAGAGAAAAGCAGTTACTTACTTACAAGGGAGCTCCCATAAGACTGTGCTAATTTCTCAACAGAAACGTTGCAGGTCAGAAGGGAGTGGCAAGAAATATTCAAAGTGATGAAAAGCAAGGACCTACAATCAAGATTACTTTACCCCGCAAAGTTATCTTTTAGAATAGATGGACATATAAAGAGCTTCCCAAACAAAAAAAGGCTTTCCATCAAACCAGTATTACATAAAATGGTAAAGGGTCTTCTTCAAAGAGAAAAAGAAAAAAGATAAAAAATACGAACAATAAAATGGCAATAAATACATATCTACCAACAACTGAATCTAAAAAACAAAGTAAACAAAAAATGAAAACAGAAACAGACTCACATACAGAGAACTTTTGACAGTTGCCAGATGGGAGGGTGGGTGGGAGGAAGGGTGAAAAGGTGAAGGGACTAAGAAGTACAAATTGGTAGTTACAGAATGGTCATGGGAATGTAAAGTATAGCATAGGGAATATAGTCAATAAAATTTTAGTAATTATTATGGTGTCAGGTAGGTATGAGATTTATGAGCATAATCACTTAGTAAGTTATATAATGTCTAGTCACTGGGGTGTACACCTGAAACTAATATACTATTGTATGTCAACTGTAATTGAAAAATAAAAAGTGATTTTCTAAGAGGGAAGGGGCAGGGGGACAGGAATAGTTAACCAAAGAACTTATATGCATATATGCATAGCCAATGGACATGCAATAGTCTGATGAAGGCAGGAGGCAGGAACAGGGAGGAGGGGTTCAATGGGGAGAAAAGGGGGGACATCTGTAATACCGTCAACAATAAAGATAAATTTTTTAAATGATTATAAAAAATAAGTAAATTTCAACAGAGAAACTGTCAGTTCAGAGAATGTGGAAATGGAATTTAAATGATGAAAAAGAATAATCACAACTTAGGAGATAATAATAGGAGCTACCATTTATTAAGTGCTTATGTATCAAGCACGGTGTTGTGTTATTTTATTTAATACAATTTTAATCATTCTTACATTACAGAAGAAGAACGTAAGACTCAAAAACATTAAATAACTTGCCTAGCTAGCAAGTGGGAAAACCAGACCTCC